ATAATAATAATAATATTAAAAAATTAAAAAATTTAGAAAAAAGAAACGTAGTTATTTAATTTAAAAGTCAAATCAAATATTATTCAAATAAACTAATATTTTAAAAATTTAACATAACCTTTTTCTTACTTACTTCCATACTATGATTTTCATTTGCATGTCGCTTTTTTTTTTCTTTAGATTTAATAAATTCATTCGTTCCTGAATTATTCTTTTCTTCTTTATCTATACTCATTTTTAAGAATATAAATTTTATTTACTTACAAAATATAAATTGTATAATTAATTGTATAACACTGAATGAATACTATCCTGTTTATACCATATGCTCTTTTATATTGATATATATTTATAGTTATATACGTATATATAATAAAACGTAAGCATGTAGCAGTGACAAATTATAAGCCACGTGCAGTTTTCAAGTTTGTACTGTAATTCAAATATTATATATATATATATTTTATTATTATTTTATTATATATATATTATATTATATTTAGTATTTAAATATAAAAAAAAATAAATTAATAAATTTATATAATAAAACTATTATTATCTCTATTATATCTCATAAAAATGTATATACACATATAAACATATATATAAGCACATGTTTATAATATTATTTCTATAAAGAATATGGTTCTTAATTTTTAATAAATAATATTTGGCTTCTATTACGCCAGTTTGACTATTCCTAGTATATATTTGTATACATCATTTTTCTTTGCAATAATATATTTATATATAAGCAAAAGATATTTTATATTAATCAAAATATATATTTAGAATAAACATTTAAGATATGTAAATTGTTATATTATAAAAATTATAAATTATTTATATTTTAGTATTTTTAATTGCAGACAAAAATTATAATATTTGTATTTTAAATTATTTTGAATTTTTTATATTTATCAATTATTTTGAATATTTTTATATTCATATATTATTTTGCATTTATGAATATAATAATAAATTTATTATTCGTATTGTATCTAAAAATATAAAACTATTTAATACTTATTAATAATCTTATAAAATAATATATAAAAAACAATATGTTAATGTTATTGATATTTATAAAAAAATTTTTAAGCAAATTATACATATAAAATAATATACAAATATATAAATAATTTACGTTAATGTTATTGATATTTTTAAAAAAATTTTTAAGCAAATTATACGTATAAAAAAATATACAAATATATAAATAATTAATTTGAAATATCAGATTACATAAAATATAAAGAACAAATTTTTTTATACTTACTATCTAAAAATGTAGATATTTTTATTGATTTATTTATTGATTTATTTATAAACTATTTTTAAAAAATTGATTTTTTAATTTGATAAGTGAATTTCTTTTAAATATTTTTATTATATTTTTATTATAAACAAATATTATTTATTATTCCTATGATATTTTAATAATTGTATTTTTTTGAAAATAATTTATCTCATTCATAATCATCTTTATATATGAAATAAAATCTTATGAAATTGTTAAATATATTTATATCATACTTTCACAAAACATATTTTGTTTTAAAATAAATATATTTATAAAGATTTTAATAAACAACATTGAAATTATATATCATTCATAAACTTTAGTAATTTATAACTAGAAATAATTGATAAATATTTAACATTATTTACAATTTACAAAAAATAAAAATCTGTTTCATATTATCATGTTTCAATTATTTTTATATTCTAAAACATTAAATAAAAAATGTTTTTGAAAAAATTATATTGTATCAAAATGTTTTAATATGTTAAATATAAAATTGATGAAATAAACATAAAAATTATAATAATTTTAAAAATATATAAAAAAATATTAATTTAAATCTTTTTGTATTTATTATCCTGAAAGAAAATATTTGCATATGTTTGCAAAATATTATTTGTTTTTTATCACAAAATAATTATTGTTAAATTATACTATATTGTTAAATTATAACTAGAAAAATTGATATAACTACAGAATGTATTTCTCTATTATAAATGACCACAAAATCACTTTGATTTGACAAATATATATATGTGAGATATCAAAGTAATTCATGAAACTGGGTATGATACAAAATAAGCAATTGCATCTTTGTATAACACATTTTTCATTATCCTTTAAGTTTATGGTAATAATTAATAACAAGAAAAAAACCTTCGTCAATGTGTCTACAATAATTATTAAAAGGTACAATTAGCAAATTACTATATTGTGTATCCACTTTGTGTAATAATAGGTAATAATATAATTGTAATATTTTTCTCATAATCATAGCGCGATTTTCTTCTCACGTGCTATCATTTTCTACAAATATAATATTGTATCTAATTTTTTATTTATATATATATTTATATTTATATATCCACTTGAATTATTATCAATCATTTACTTTTACTGCTCTTTATATCAAATACTAAATTAATCAAATACTAAAAATACAAATGTTTTGTATACAGCAAGTTTTAGAGTCATCAAGTTTCACCTAGGAGCTGGTGATTTTAAAACGCATATTCATATTTATGATAGAATATTAGTGGCACTGCAAACAAAATTAAGGAGCTTGTAATGCATTCATTATACATACATACACATGAGCATAAAATTGAACATTTTAATTGGTATAATCATTATAGTCTGCATGAAAATAATGATATATTATGTGTTTATGAAGCACACTATAAACACCAATTATTTATTGAGCGTTACAAATACACCATCTTTTAAAAATGTGTTGAATATCAACAATTGTTACATATTACAATCAACTTGTGATCTTTGGTGTATTAGTATTATTTGTATTATAATACATACATACTACATATGCAATTATATGGCAGACAAACTTTAGAAGCTCCTTAATTATGTAAACATGCAAAATATTTACTTATTTTTAAAATATTTATATTTACACGCAAGAAAGCTTACTTTCTTTATAATCATATAAATGTGATATTCAATAATAAAATTATAACATAATAATCCCTAACTTATTTCTCTATTTTAAAGATAAAATATTGTACATCGCAATTACAATTTATTTCTTTCCTGCTGATTCTTAAATTGTATTATTAAATTACTGTATTTTATATTATATGTAATTCTATTACAATATAGGGCTGAATCAAATTAAACGCACAATTTGGATATTCATTTCTTTATATGTTTTATATACAGCATAAATTCCCACCATGTAAAATAAGCATGCTACTATTTACAATATACGAGTCAAGATCTATTGAAATAAATTTTGTTAAACAAGCAATTCTAACTAAATAATTTAACTTAATATTAAAAATAGAAGAAAATTTAACGAAATTATTCAAAATGATTTCATTCAAGGGATGAAATTTGTTAAAATTTTTCCTATTCAAAATATTATTGAATTCAATACTCAACGTTCATATGACAATATTTTTTTAAAAGATACTATTTGATAGCCATCAAAGCTTCTATAAAGAATATGAAGAAAATATTAAATTTTATTCAATTTTATTCTTTATGAAATTTAAAAATTATATATTAATTTTTATAAATTAATATAAAAATGAAGAAATAGTTAGAGGAAGTTTATTTTAAAAATTTTAAATATGTGATTCTAATTTAAATTAGAATTTATTCACTTATTAAACAATACAATTTTAATATTAATTAATTATATAAGGAAAAATAACTATAATATAATATTTTCTTCATTTCTTCAAATCTAACCTGCAGATGCTTATTTACTTAAGACAAATAACGGAACGTACACAGAATTATGGAACAATTGCATACACATTACTGTGACATTTTAAATGCAGATTCTCAACATAAAAAAAATGCTGTGATGGCTATCACAGGTTCATTTAAAAACTCCAACTCTCAACTGTATAATTTACATTTATACAATATAAAACTAGATTATCTGTTCACAAAAACAATTGTTCATATACAATAGTTCATATACATCACATATATACATACATAATATAATATATACGTATGCGTACACATTTTTATATATTTTAAGTGATGCCAAAAAAGTGCTTCTAATGTCGTTAGTGCACAATCACAAAAAATAATTAATAGTATGACAATGTTGCACAATTTGAATTATTACTAATTTAATAAAAATTTAAACAGTTTCTATATACAATGAAGATGTATCTTTACAAGAAGTTATTTACAAAATATATTCATTTATATATTACCTATCAAATTAACATTGTATTATTCGTTTTTCTATTATAATTATTCTTATTATATTTATATATTTATGCATGATTTATCCCAACGTTTTGTTTATGTTTTATAAATAAAATAAATCCTTCTTAATAATTCTATACTTTTGCCTTTTGCAATATTGTGACTCAAGACAACTTTTTGCTGAAAAACTATGTTCATTGAAATGACAAAAAGTAGGATTTTTTAATATATAATGTAAATATTTGTTATAATAATAACAGAAATTTTTCATAATGAAGATAATTTTAATTGAATACATTTATAAAAAAATATGATTATTCTATATGAATATAGAATTTTATATTTTAAAAATTTTATGATATAAATGTAAATTTAAATAAATATTCTAAATTATAAAATGTTACCAAAAACATTACTATAATAAAGAATTTTGTTTATAACTATTTGTATAGTAAAAAAATTTATAGTGACAAATCAAAATTAATATAAAATATGAAACAAATATTTTTAAACAAAGTCTATCAGCAAAGTTGTCAAAGAGCAGCGACTCAAGCCCCACCAATCAATGAAATTTATCCTTGAGAAATATACATTATTTATGGCAGTACAGTCAGATTTCATTTTAATGCATTAAAAATTTCGACTTTCTTTTACCATTATTAATCTGTATATGTAATATCTAATATTTAAAAAAAAAAAAATTTTAATGTAAAAGGTATTTATTAATTATTTATTTATTAATTTAGTTGTTTTTCATTATTTTTTATCGTTTTTAATTTTGATCAATAATCTATCTATTAATAAAATAATATTAGATATTCAATTAATAAAATTTTGTTTATATTGAAGATATAACATAATATTTTACAAAATTATTAAATAAAAATTTTTTTATATTAATTAAATACAGAATTATACAAGCTTGGCAAAAGAAAGTTGCACATTAAGTCGGCAGTTTTGGATCAGTTCAGTTACTTAAGATATAATGCATTGAGCAGATTATTCTGAGTAACTAAACTTTGCTGTTTAGGAGTAAAGTGTAATTGAGAACGCTTAGACGGTAACAAAAAATAATAAAATATTTTTTATTTTTTACTTTTATGATGAGCACTTTAAACATTTAAAAACGTAACAATAATATCCTATAAATTTATTTCAAATATTTGCATAATATTATGAAATATAAAATTTATCTTAATGAAATTCAGCATATATTCTATTGCAACAAAAAATTTAAATACCATCCAGCACTCCACAAATACGATACTCCTGATATATACATATATATGTATATGTATATATATATATATATATATATACACACATATTATACACACACATATATATATACACAGCAGCATTGTGCGGTATTGACGCATGCAGTTTCACCAGGTGGGGTCCAGCCACACGGCGATCACATAACCATTTGTAATAGATACACAATTAGTCGGATAGGCCTTGACGAGCGACGGTAGCTAATCACTGTCAAGGTCACTTCCCGAAGGTCATTTGTTTTCTCGGGATATTCGCCTCCGTTTTGCTTGCTCCGTTGCTTCAGCTGTTACTAAAACAATGTTCCCGCTGTACGAGGTGTCTTTAATTAAAATGGTATGTGAAATGTATAATTTATATACATAAAAGATAATAATAATAATGTAAGTAATAATGCATTAAATACTTAACATAAATGATATATATATATATATATATATATATATATATATATAAATTTGAGTGTAAATCTATATAAGGTGTAATAATCGTGAATAACTTTGAAAAATTGATTTTTGAAGCCAAAATAAATATTAAAGTTATTATATGAAAATGTCGATTGAGATTTATTTATTTTTAAGTTATAGGCAATTGAAATTTACATTAGACGAAACAAGACAAATAGAGTGATAAATATCTATTTTTATGATATTGTCTCATTTAATATCTTATAAATATATTAACACCTTATATATATAGTGTTTATTTATCAAATATTTATTTTTTTTATTTATAAGTTGTATTATAACATGTACAAATTTTACATACCAGCACCACTTCGAGTTTTTCGTCTAGTAATATCTTCTGTAGATCTAGACGCACCTCTTGTATTGCTTGCTGGTGTTGCCAATGGCGAAGATGTGTTCTGTCGAACAGATCTTCTTGTTGTAACTTCTCCTAAGGATTCATTATTGGATATGGAAGTACCACGTAGCCTTTCCTTTCCGGCGGTAACTATCGCGGTTGTATTCGGTTGTTTAGTAGTTAACAAACGGCTCTCTCTTTGCACTCTATTACTGGCATTGAAATTTGATATATTACTGGAATTAATTTGACTGCCAGAAACAGTTGTGCTTGTATTTGTTCTAGAATAACAAAAATTTATTTACGTAGCGGGGCTCTCAAATCTCTGACAAATTCAGATATGCTGCTGCTAAAAGAATGCTGAACCGATGTTGCTTACTTTTGATCTTTAGATTTTGGAGATGCAGCGGATGTTTCGTCTGATAATCGCATTCTTGCTTTTCCTACAGATTCAATCAATGGCTCATCATCAGACGAATCTACTTCTACCACAATGGGACCTAAAAATACAAAAATGCTTGTATCAAAATATCCAGGTTCGATTTCAAAATAATATTTAAACAATGTAAAATTAATTAGTCATAAATTAATGATTAAGGTTGAGAAATAATCATTTAATGTTTATGCAAATGAAATTAATAAACTATATAGATAGATGTAAATATATATTCATATAAAAATACATACAAAAATATGTATGTATGATCAAAATAACTTCAGTGATTCAATATAACAATATTTAGAATGATCAATTATTATTGGCACTTTTATTAACCTGTTTTTGGCAGTCCTTATTATTTCATGGAACAATATAAATAAGCAAATACATATATTATATCTAATGAAATTTTTTTAAATATTTATATCCATGTAATTTTATCACCTGAAATATTAGTTTAGTTTTCAAAATCTTAAACAATGTTTTGCAGGAAATATTAAATGGCGAAAACTGTTTTATTTTAGGTGGAGGTATCTTAAATATATTAAGATCATTTTTATTTCTATGTTGTAGCACCTGTTATAACGAGTTCAACGATCTAAAAGGTGCATCAAGGTTACTAAAAGTAACCATTAAAAATTCATATAATTTATTTGACAATTATACGTCAGTTTGCACTAGTAATTCTCGTTCTTTATCTTGTCTCGTAGTCGTCCTAAAAACTGTATACTTTTTGCATTTATCTTTTTTTTAAAATTATAATAACTACTGAAAATTTATTCATTTTATAATATACTACTAAACATTTATTTTTTATGTTCTATAAAACATTAAATATTTACTTAGGCCTGGTTACTGCCCAGATTTAATGACCAGATTTACATACATCAAAATGGCTGAATGATTTTCAACTGTGTCCATTTTGAACACCTTCCCAAGAAATGAGAGAAATATCTTGAAACTTTGTAGAATAGGTCATTGAACTCACTTTAAAAATTGTTATCAGGTACTGATAAAAAAAGATAAACATCCATTTAAAAAGATGGAGATGACCTTAATATGTTCTTAGTATGTTCTTGACCACCTAAAATGAAAATCTTTGCATCACATGATAATCCCCACAAAACAATGTCTTTTGTAGGAAAAATGTTTTCATAATTCTAAAAATAGTGATGTTGTAGGTAATAAAGTTACATGAGATATTTTGTATAATATATATCAAATAATATAGCAAATATATTATAACAGAAAATAATATTACTAAATTAATATTACTAAATAATGAAAATAATATAAGATAAACACCTTTTTTAGTCTTAGCCAGTATATTAAATCCCTTTTTTGGCTGTTCTTCTTTGACAGGTACTTGTTTCTTTAAAGCAGCTTCATCAACACCCATACAAGCTTTTATAAGTTCTGCAGCATTTTCTGAACATTTTCGTTTTCCTGGTCGTGATTGTGGATCATCAGCAGTGCTAGATGCTACAGAACTTTCACTTTCCTGACGTTTTCTTTTCCCCACTTTTATTGTCGTATTAGGAGATAATTTAGATACTCCTAATTTAGGACTTGCTTTAGCATAAGGTGATATACTGCGTCTCTCTTCTAATTTATTAGGACCATGAGGACTACCTTTTGGAGTCTTTATGATATCAGGACTATTTAATTTCTGAGATCTTGTTCTTAGAGATCTCTTCTCATTAGTATCATTCGGTATTTCTATTAGAAGCTGTTCTAACAATGATTTTGGTGGTCTTTTAACATAATCATCTGTATTATTAGAATTCAATCTTTCTACAAATTGTGTTTCATCATTGTCTTCTATACATATAACATCTTGTCGTCCTTCTAATTCTTGTTTTCTCCTACGTTTTCTTTTGACATGTTCAACATCACTCGAATCCACTTCTGGATTTTGTGCTGCTGGGCTTGGAGTCTCATCTCTTTGTAAAACTACTGGATTAGAGTATGTATATAATGGTGGAGTAATTCTAATTGGTTGAGGATCTTCACCAAGAGGTGATTGAATACCTATGTTTATATCACTTGCATCATTTACAATTTTCTTAACCAAATCATCTGCAACTTTTTGAAGATTCATAGAAGACTCCCTAACAGATATTTGTTGATGACTTTGTACATTAGATTTTTGGTTTTGATCGGAACATTGTTCTAACTTAACAGATGTTACACTTAAAGAGTTTTTTGTATTATCTGATCGATCATTTTGCCTTGTATCATCAACTTTTTCATTAACATTAGATTCTACTTTGATTTCAGAACTAAAACTTGAACTACTAGAACATGAGTTGTCTACTACCACCTTAGCCTCATTTGTAAGTGTAGTATCAAGTTTTTCTGTCTTTATCTTATTATAAGCAACATGATTTTGTATTACAGGCACACCATTATTATTTTGTCCATGAGGTTCATCATTTAATCTAATTGCACTATTACCATCTATGACTGTTTTTACATTGTCTTCAGATGCACTTTCTGGGGTTCTTGACACTTCATGTTTAATATTTGTCTTACCCTGCTCATGCTGATTGATAGAAGCTTCTAATTTAATGCTACAATTGTCTTTTTCAGAAAAGTCATTTGTTTGTTGCTGTGCGCATTGCAATAAGTTATCACTATCCACAGTACTGGATACAGAAGTAGTCACAATAGTCACAGATCCTGACACTAGAGGGCTGGATACACTTTTATCAGTCACTTCTAAACTAGGAATCAAGTCACTATGACCACCAGTTCTCTGTATTGTTGAAGTTGAATTTTCACTAGATATATTTTTTGTGTCATGTTCACTGGAATTTGATATATTACGATTTAAATGATTTTCAAGATAACTTGCTACGGACACAGGACTTAACCTTTGCGGGCCACTGGATTTTAGAAGTTCCGAATGGGAATTTGAACACATATCACTACTACTAGTTGAGGAAGGCACGTTCTTATTGGTGATTGGTAGGGTAGATTCCCCTTGAATAGCAGTCTTTGTACTGCTTTGTGTTACTGATTCAGTCACTGGCCTATGCAAAGGAGATTCCCCTTGATTTGGTGATTTCTCTGATAGAGCATCCATTGACTCAATACCTGAATCTTCACCACCTCCTCCACTGCTGACTCTTTCTACACTTGCATCCACACCAATTGCAATTGGAACTGTAGTTTCAAGTAATTTTTGTTTAACTTTTGCTTCTGTTACATTAATTTCTCCAATTGGTAAAGTTGGCTTGCTGGTAGGTACATCAACATTTTGGGATCTGGGAACTTGGTCCATTGAGTTTCCTATTGTTGAACATTGTGTTTTTAATAAACTAATTCTTTGTGTATTATCCACTTTGTTTTCTACTGTGGATCGGTCAGGTTGTTTTACATGATTCTGAATTATTTTTTTATGACCAATATGTTCTATTTTATTATGTCTGTTAATGATAGTATTTGCATCATTTTTTGAAACCATATGTTTTAATTTCTGATTAATAGTTTGACTTTTTGTTATAATATTACAATTTGTTTTGCAATTATCTGTTTCTGTTTTAATTTTTCCAGAAATAATTCTATTTACAGTTGATTGTGTATTTTTCATAGAAGTTTCAACATGTGTAGATATTTTATTTTCAATATTAGTAGATGGATTTGAATCATTTTGTGTAGATATAATTGGTGGTACTAATCCAGAAGTTTCATTCTCAAATGATGAATTACTAGCAGATTTTATATTTGTATTTGTATTTGTATTTGTATTTGTATTTGTATTTGTATTTGGAACTGTACTGGCTGAAGAACATTCAGAAATGGTCTTCTGATTATTAAAATGTGTGGTTTCTGCATCTTGAGATTCTGAAATATATTTTGAAAAAAAATTAATGGAATATTAAATATAAATATGTAATATTTATAATTTATGTATATCAAAATTTAATATATATAAATGTAAAAGTATTTATAGTAATAATAATAAAATATTAAGACAATATATGAAATAAAATTACTTTATATTTACCTCCTAAATGCAGATCTTTCTCATCCATTAAACTTAATCTTCTCCTTTTTTCTTGACTAATTAAATCTTTTTTTACACCATTTACTTCAGTTAATCTTGAAGCAACAGCATTTAAGGTATTCTTTTCGATTGATCGAGTAATTTCACTATCGCTCGTTCTTCTGATTTCTCCTACTTTTTTGACAGTATTGAAATCATTGCCAGTCAAAAGTGTATCAACTTTTCTTACAGATTGACTTGAATCACCTTTATAATTAAGTTTTCTCCATTTTGCTTGATTATCTAAAATTCTACCACCAGACAATAAGTTTTGTTCACGATGTAAACCGTCTCCTGATTCTGATTTCTTTTTAGAATCTCTTCTTTTAGTTTTTCCTAAAAATAAAGGAATAATAAATAAGAAGAATAAAAAAATTATTAAAAATTTACAAAATAATAATAATTCATAATAATAATATTATGAATGTAGAATATTCTGATTTAATACAGATTAATTAATTTTTTATATTATAAATAATATAATATAAAAAATAATGAAATAATAATATTAAGAATTAAAAATATATTTTCAATTCTTAATTTGGAAAATATCTCACCTCCTCCTATTTTATGCTCCTGTACATGATTTTGAACATCTAGTTCAACTTGATTTTTTGTTAAAGACTGTTGTGTATTCAAAGGTTGATTCAAAATAGTGGATTTATGTTTTGAAGGAGATGGTATTCGACTGTTTAATGGTATGTCATCGACATCGCTACTTTTACTTGAACTTGGTTTTGTAACACCAGTTTGTACACGTACAACATCCATAGATAATTCTTGTTTTAAGGCATTAGGTTTTGATACAACTGTTTGAAGTATATTATTAACTTTGCTAATAGAATTGGTACTGTTGATCATCGTGTTATTAGATAAAGGTAATTTAGATGCGGATGAAGTACCTATAATCATGCTTAAAGATGACTTTTTTTGCAACAATTTGTTCCCATCTATACATTCTTTCATTTTTTTTAATTTCCCTCTCCTTTTTATATTAGTAGGGTCAGACTCACCATCTTTTAGGGATTTCTTTTCCTTTTTTCTGATTTGTACTACAGAAGCATTACGTCCTCTTAAAGAAATGTGTAAGGGAGGCACTCTTGGTTCATCACCAGTTCCTGAGTTGGGAATACCAGTAAACATTTTATTTACTGATTTATCAGCTTTTCTAATCGGTGGTGTGTTTACGAACGAAACATCAACTTTATAAGCTGGTGTAACAGGTTCAGATTTTTCTAATTTTAGTCTTAATTTGATTTTCTCTCCAGGCATTGGACTTTGTGCGGTCTCTCTGTTAGATTTTATTCTGCTATGCTTCAAACTTCCTTCACTGGCAGTAGATTTCACTGTGGTTTCAGAATCTGACTGATCTGTATTTGTTGTTGTATCATTTCTTCTTGAGAAATTACTGTCTGCATCGTCGTCGGAAAATATGGAATTTGATCGATCATTTGATGGCGATGGAAAGGAAAAGAAATCATCTTGATTATCTACTGCACTTTCTGGTTCTGAATCCGAGCTCTCACTAGGCATTGGTTCCAAATGCCCAGTTAAAGGGTTAATAAGAAACTGTCGTATTTTACCAGTTGATGTATACTCTGGTTCAGGTGTCTCTTCTTTAGGATTAGGAGATTCAGAAGTTTCAACTTTAGTAGCAGGTGAAACAATATTACTATTAGAAATATGATTACTATGAGATCCACACTGAGAAAAGGCACCTGAAACCTGATTCGTAGTTGGCAGACGAATAGTATTAACCTGAGCACCTTGTGGAATAGAATTATTTTGTGCGTTCCACGTGGTCCCATTAGCAGTACTAGTTGTAGTTTGATAATTTCTGCTTAAAATATTTTGACTTTGTCCATAACGAAAATCAGTTGTGGCATTAGTGTTAACATTAACATTTTTAAGTTGATTATGATGTAATTGTTGTTGCACATTCAATACTTGATTTTGTTGTCCTAAATGGGACTGTGGTGGAACTTGTTGTCGTGAATAAGGAGGTGGAGTTTGTTGACGTTGATTATTTAAGTAACTAAGCCGTTGTTGTGGAACATTTATGCCTACTGACGAATGTTGCATTAATTGTTGTTGTTGCAAAAGTGGTTGACTGGAAACGGATGTAGGTTGTAACGATGTATTTACATTTTGCGGTTGTACCAAAGATTGTTGTTGAGTTGAAATCTGTTGTGTAAGTAAATGGGGAGAATTTATATTTTGTTGATTCAATTGTTGTTGTTGTTGTTGTTGTGTTAAATGAACTTGATGTTGCTGTTGCTGTTGAAGAAGTAATTGTCGTTGTTGCAAAGGTGTTCGAATTTGCTGTCCATTTACTGGATGTCTAATTGGAAGTTGACTTTGTAATTGTACTTGCGATGGTCTATAAGCCAATTCTTGTCTGATGGGAAACTTTTGCTGTATTTGTACTTGAGCATGTAGTGATGATGCAGGTTGTTGTATTTGTCCACTAACAGAAGCTTGATGTACTGCTTGCTGGGCTATATTTTGTGCAACGCCACTAATTACATTAACTGGATGTTGTTGAGAAATAGTTGAAGATTGATTAGCATTAACAGTTGCAAATGCAGATGTAGAAGATTGAGATAAGTCAGAAACTACTGTTGATCCTCCTATAAGATCCTCTGTTCTAAGAGAATCTAAATTCGGTGGTGATTCATTAGGTGAAGCTAAATCTTTTCTTCTAACTGTTGGTTTTTTAGTGGGTCTCATACGATTTGTAAGTCCAGAATTATCGATGACTGCTGGTGGTAACATTTTCTGACCAGATATCACATTATTTGGATGCGTGTTAGCATCATTTTGTAAAAGATTAACAAGAAGTGGACTGGACAAAGCAACTTGATTTCCATTACCATTTGAATTCCCTGCCAGATTGTTATTGTTTGGTGACAGACTAGATGTAGTAGTAATTGAAGACTTGTACTGATTTGTTAACTGACCAACTGATACAACTGATTGAGTAGTAGTATGACCAGCTGTTAATGTTGTTACTGTCGCCAAATTCTCTTGAGCAGGATAAGGCGGAGGTGGCTGAACATGATGTTTAAATTGCATTGTATTTTTAATTGTGGTTGCTTGTGATTCACGATTATGAATTGCTTGGGCAGCATGTGTCATACTGGCAAATGGGAATGGACCATTATAATTATTCCTAGGCGAAGCACTGGGATTAGTTACAGTTTGATTTCCAGAGGCACCAACATTGTTACTGCCTGATGCGGACTGTACAGATTTTGCAAGAAAAGGTGGAATAGGATCACAGTCTGTGGGTGCAACTACATTTGGAGAACGAAATTGTGGTACTTTTTCCGATGATGTACCTGAAAAAAACACAACACATGAAAAAAGTTTTTTAAAAATTTTACAAAACAATTTTATAAAATATGTAAAACATACTAGCTGCAATTATTTGAGCCACATTACGTAATGCTGAAGAAATACTAGTTGTATTACTTGGACCAGGTAAAGCTGTTGGAGGTTCACTATCCATATTAGATGTATTGCTAGTGGATTCATTTTGAGATTTGGCACTATTATCTTGTGAAGATCCTGAACGTAATACAATTTCCTGTGCCTCTCCACTAAAGCGATTAGCTATCCTCAATGATATTACCTATCATAATTCATAAAATATACTTTATTTATTGTTTTAATTTTCTTTTATCTTAATTTTATTATTATTGTAATTCATTGTTAATAAAATATCAAATAATATATTATTTACTTAATTACCTGATCTCCCTCAACTTGTACTGAAAGAATTCCAAGTTGTGTAAGTGTTGGAGAACCCTGAGCTGCTAATTCTCGAAGACGTAGTGCAGCTTCTCTGGGTATTGAAAATGTGACTCTGACAGAATTCCATGGCTCTACCTTATTTACTCTTAAACCATCCCCATTATCTATAAATCATAAAATATCAAATATAATAATATTAAATATTCAATATTAGCTAAGTATTATTAATTAGAAATTTATTTTAATTATTATCTACAAATATTACCTTTGCAAAGCAAAGATTTAAGATGATCAACAATAATTTTAAATTTGTGTGGAAATTCTGGGTCTTCTAAATTACCTTCACACGTTATGACTGTTTGAATTAGATCACCATCACTATCAGCCGCCATGACTATAATATACAACAAATTAATATCTTAATTTTATATATATATATATATATATATATATATATATATAAAACTTTATTTAAAATATAATAAATATGTAAGTTTTTCATTATAATTAAAAGAGATTTTTTATTTAATTTATTATAAAAACTAATCAGAAACTAAAAAATAATTTTCTCCAATAAAAAATATAATACAATATATTATAATATTTTAATATTAATTGAATATAAAAAAAGAATTTATGTTTAATAAAATAAAATTTATATTTAATAATATATAATAAATAATTATATTTAATAAATTTATATTTAATAAAATATAAATTATACAATGTATAATTGTATAATTAACATAATATTATATAATTCGTTATACTTACCAACCACAAATCACATACTACCCAGAGAGGTTCAAACGCCTCAGGGTACCACTAGAATATGTGGTGATAAGATGTTTGAATGTCGGTTTTAAACCGACAACTCCAAACCACTCCAACACTAACAAATATATTTATTGTTTCTATAGAATAAAATAATATATTTTTATTAGACAAATTACATAAGTTAAAAAATTTAATAACTTAATTTTGTAATAATTTGTAATAATTTCATAATTAAAAATTTTAACTAAGATAAATTTAATACAAATCTGTTTTGACATAATAAAATAAAATCATTTTATATACTATTTATAAATATATGATAAGACATAATAATTTAAACATATTTTTTAATAAAAAAATTAATATATAATTTATAAATTGTAATTTTAAAATATAAATTATTCATTAATGATTATATAAATTTTTAATTATAGCCATATTTATTATTTCTTATGAAATATTTTTAATTTTATTATCATTGAATATATTTATCTAAAGATATTTAAAATTATCTAAAAATACTTATAATAAACAATATTATAATTTTATTTAAATAAAAAATAATTTAATAAAACAACTTACCAATTATAATCTGAAAGTGCAAAAAAAAAAAAAAAAAAAATTAAATATTTTTATAAAATAAATTATTTTTATATTATTTTTAAAAATTTATATAAATTATTTGTTTTATTGTTATATATTGTTATATTTTATTGTTATATAAATTATAATAAGATATTTTGTTGTTATTGATAATAAGATAATTTGTTGTAATAATTTATGATTATTAATTATTAAACATAATATAATATAATTTTAAATTATAGTCATAAAAAAAAATTTTGTAGAGAGTTTTAGAATAAAAAAAAAATTAAATTAAAATGTCAACAATAATTATCCATTACAAAGTAATAAAATAAAAATAATTTAATTACATAAAATATTACATATTATATTAATATTAATTATATATTATATTAATATTATATTATATTATATATTACATTAATATTATATTATATTATATTAATTATTTAATATAATTTTATTTTATTATGTCAATAAATTATATTTAACTATAATATTTATCCATAATATATATATTATAAATGATTATAACAAAACTACAAATTACGAAAAAATTATATAAATATTTAAAAACTTACAAATTGAATCAATTTTGAATAAATATATAAAAATAATAAAGCAAAATTCAAATATAATACAAAAATATCAAATAAAAATGTAAAATTGACAAGTCGAAACAAAACAAAAACGAAAACATAGTGCATAAACAAAAAGTGAGGCCAATGAGCATTACTAGGTTATAATTTGATCATGATTTTTGTCAAATTATAGCGATTAATGAAGAAAATACAAAGTTAGAATCAATTATACTATTAATATTTACCGAATCAAGAGATATATATAGCATAAATAATTTTGGACCAAAATCTTACTACTCACGAACTGCAATTAAAATCTTTTGGGCCATAAGACAGGGGCACAACTTCTATGTAGAAGAAAATAGGTTATAGAATATTTTTTTCAATCAGACATAAAATGTAAATTGTTGCGCTAATCAGAATTTAGTATCCTGTATAAACAACAGCTGATTTTGACAATTTCCATAATGATTTTCGATAAAATAAGGCATCCAGAGCACTAGATATCGGGGGGCCACCATTTTGTCCGTCGGGGGAGGTGTACGTGAAGTGGGCTCAAGCATGCTCAAGATAGACCGTCAAAAGTCTGAACATTTTTATTTTGCAGCTTCCTTGTATACTTGATAATTATATATGCTTACCAAAACAAAGTTAAAATTCAATAATGAACAGCATGGTAGCCAACGAGCCTCACTTCAGTCTTTGCACAGAACGATTTCATACCGTATGAACACAAGAAAATTTTAACGTTACCCCATTTCTTTCCAACTTCGTGCGGGATTTCTCGCGTTCAAAATGCACGGAGCCACACCACAAGAACACTAATTTTAATCTAAAATATGCCGCGCAAGTCTTATTTCACTTTTTGCACACAGCGCGCGGTAGGAATTTCGAAAAAACTCGACATAATCGGTAATATAAAGGGACAAGTCATAAAACGCCATGAACAATAACAAGGAGCCGCCATTTGCAATGCGAACAACTGACATGCGCAAATCAATCGCGCGGGGCATATTGGGTATTTGTGAGGCGCCATCTTGCTATTCATTTTACATTTAAGTTTCCTAACCTTCCAAATCATTTATTAAGAATATATTTATTGTTGTATTTATGGATTTCATATTTCATATAAATTTAATACAATAAAATAATTCATAGTAATTTAAATGATAAAAAATTATCTATTATAATTTTTAATGTTGTATAAAATTTTTATTTCTATAAATAATATATGATTAGATTCAATATTAATATCATAATAATAAAATAAAAACTTACTTAAATTTTTTATTTTAATAAAATGTTACTCTTTTATATTTATAATTAATTATTTAAAGATTATTTTAATTATTTAGTATAACTCTTATGAATTTAGTATGAATATATAAATTTATATATTTAGTAATTCAATTTATATTTCTAAAATAAATTATTTTAAAAAGATATTATATAAATAAAAATACTATATATACAATTTTTTACATAGAAAATTTTAGATTTATTTAAATTATATGTTTAATTTTATATTTAAAAATTAATTTCTTTTTATGACATTTCTTTATTATGAATACATATAACTTTAATATAATTTTTATAATACCACTATTATTTTATTCATATATATAATATTTATCTAAAATAATTATTTAATTATAAGATTCCATAAGTCCGGCTTCATTCATTATTTGTAATGATTTCATTGGATCATAAGTTCTAAAATATAATAAAATATTTATATTATAAAAAAAAAAGCAAAAAATAAAAATTTAACATATTGATATTATTACTTATAAAATTCTTCAGCTTTTCGTTCAAATCTATCAGTAACTAAAATCTTCCAACTCATGCCAGTAAAAGTACAAAGTAATGCCGCTATTCCCAAAGTCCTTCTAACTCTTGAAAGATGAAGGTCACGAAGTTGAGGCTTTGGTAATTTTCCTTCTGCCATCTGAAATATTTTATATGATAAAACAAATAATATACATGTTTTATGTAAATTATATATATTTATATCATTTACGTACAAAAATTATTTTTTTTTACATTTTTATTTGAAGGATTAATTTTTTCTATTTCTATCTTTAATATATATTTTTACAATTATTAATATTAATATTATATTAATATATAATATTATATTATTTTATTATAACACATAATCATTAATATTAATCTATTGATTAATAAAATCTATTTATTAAATATATACTATTTAAAACAAAATATGTTTTAATATAATAAAACAAAAATTATTCGATTCATTCGATTCGATTTGATATGCCATAGCGAAATAAATGAAAAATCTATATTTTATAACTTTATTTTGTTATTTAATATCTTAAAAATAATACCCACGTTAATTTAATTTCGATTATATGTAATATTTAATATTATGTCAAATGAAATAATTCAATTTTTAAAAATATTAATTATGATAAATTTATCGTAACTGAAACATATTATGTAACATTTGATACTTTTTTAAAATAAAAATAACAATTGATTTAATTGTAAAAATATACAAAGGTTACTAAAAAAGATTATTTATATACTTTTACTTTTAAATAAAATGATGTAGTAATTCACTCAACTTTAGACGATGTTTTATACACAAAAGTAACGTCAATAGAATATACTTACTTTATTCGGAATCTACTAGAAGCCTTTCGTAAACTTACAAACTATATGCCTACAAATTGTAGATGTGTTCTGTAAGCGATCTTTATAAGTCTGTATATTTTTAAATGAAACTACTCTTATAAAATAAAAAATATATTATTTAATTTAAAGAAATTATATATTTTCTATGTTAAATTTAAAAATAAATTATTTTTGTAATAAATTATATAATAAATTATATAATTATAAAATTAAAATTGATATGTATATATATATATATATAACCGCCATTTGCAATCATAATATGCGATCATAATATTTATAATCATATATATTATAATCAATATAATCATAATATATATATATATATATAATCATAATATTTTTTAAAATGCAATATATTATTAATATAGATTTATCGTAAAATTATTTTAAAAGTATCAATTTAATAAATACTAATCTGTTATTTTTAAAATTGTATAAATTATTATCTATTATAATTATATAATTTCTAATTAGTTTATTAAAAAGTAAATTGTTATTTTAAAATATTTCTATTGAAATAAAGATAAAAAAAGAATAAATTTATATATTTTTTATAAAATAATAAGAAATGATATTAAAAAAAAATTTTTTTTTTTAAATGTTATCCATAGATTATATACAACATAGTGTTAACAGTTAATATTTGTATGTCATATAAATTAATGATTTCAAAATCTTATAATTTTCATATCACTTTCAATATTATAAATTCATTAAAAATATATATACATAAACTATATATATATATATATATATATATATATATATATATATAGAAAAGCAAAAATGATAAAAAATATATGAATACTATATAAAATATATATATTTTTTTAAAAGTATTCAAATTTGACGTAAGGTGTTATCAGTAAGCAAAGTGAATTTTGTTAAAGGTTTTTGATTAGTAACACCATCTCTTTGTGAAAACATTAAAACTTCATATAATTATTGGTAATAAAATGAATTGTTTAAATATTATAAATCAAATATAGAATCTAACATCATAAATAGAGATATGATAGGATATGATATACATATAAGAAATTCTCTTTTGAAATTATTTAGAAATTCGTAAATCATTTTGATATCACATGCGATATTATCGATTTAGTATGAAAGTTGTACGATATTATTGTATTATTAGCAGTGAAGTTTTGATTTTGAATTTAAGCTTTGATAAAACTATAAATAAGATTTAGATGTTTCAAAATCAAAATAGTTTATGAGAGACCAAAAGTAACTTCCAAAAATCTCTCTGACTAAAATTTGACTGAAATTTGATTGAAATTTTGTATATAAATAGCTTTATTTTAAAAAATATAAAAAAAAATATTTGAAAAAAGATTTTTAGAGATTCGAAAATTTCATCTATCTTCTCTAAAATCTAAAATTTTGCAAAAAATATTTTATTATTTTTATATATCTACCAATACAATATGTTACCAATACAGCATTGATTAAAATAAAGCGAAAACTAAAGATTAGATATAAAGTTTTTATATCCCATTTGTAAATAAATCTCCATTATAAAAAGTTTTCTAAGATTCTCCTAAAAAACTATTTACATTATTATAATACTTGAAATGTTTATTATATGTTGCACTCAAAGTTTCCATATTTTCTATTTGGATTCAGTTTCGAAAATATAATGATAGTAATATTAACATCAATTAATATCTATTGTTATAATATAGATTAGAAATTTATAACACAGATTAGTTAGTAGATCAATTATGCAATGTCAATATTATATTTTTTGTGGTTTAAGTCTATAAGATTTAGCATTTCATTATCATTTTCGTGTCACTCGCATTATTACCAACAGAATACAGAATCTGAACATTCATTTTGGCAGAATATACATAGCTAAATAAATATATATTTTAAAACAATAATCTGTAAAATAATCAATTATCTGATTGTTTAGCAAGATAGCAAGAAAAAAGATGAATATTATAGTTTATTGTTAATGAATATTAGCATCATTCTTGGCATCTTTATTATTGTAATTTCGATTTTTGTAATTTCACTGTGTTGTTTCATATTTTATTTATTTTATATTCTGCAGATCTCAAACTTGACATTGGATTTGATACATTTTAAGCTCAATATAAGAACAATTTATGAGCAATAGATTTTTGATTGATTTATCTGTTATACATTTTTAATAGCATTTATATGAATTTATAAGAATTTTATAAGAATTTATAAGAATTCGTAGCATTTATAAGAATAGATAAATAATAATCGCAAATTTTCGTATATAAAGTCATAGATATATATACGCATAAGAAATATTTTATATAATAGTAAAACCAATTTGTTTTTTGCAAATATCTAAAAATTAATCGCTATGGCGATAACACACAAAGAAAAAAATATTTATCTTATAAAATTCTCTACAAAACATATTCAAAAATTATCAAAATCAGTAAAGATTTTCTATTTCTAATTAATCTATTTGTTGATTAATCAATATTAATTATTATATAATAAGCAATGGTAATATTTTATATGGTAACGTATCATTTTGTACGGTCACGAATCAATATAATATTTGGAAAGAAAAGAAAAGAGGAAGATTTTACTTAAATATAGAATTTTAGTTTCATGTCATCATTTATTGATTTCCAAGATATTAATAAAAAAACTTTCAATATTACACATTAAAAGCTATATAGATAGTTATATATAGATATTATTAATATATTAAATACTATCTATCCAAATATTATTAACATCTGTATTCGCTATAGTAGTTGTCATTGTCAAGTTAAATCGACAGAAGGATTTTTTAAATTCTATTTTAAAATAATATCAATATAAAATCGTTTTTATTTGAAGTATATCCAAAGTAATAGCATTTGTTATATTTGCACGGCAAATATTTTTTATCACATTGATTTTTTTGCATATTTATTTTCTCTTACATATATTTAATTACATATATTTAATATTACATTATTCCTTTAAAAATAAAAATATTTATTTTTATAATATTAATTTATATATATATATATATTTATATTATTTTATAATAATATATAATATATAAATAATATATTTATATAATTATTATATAATTAATTTATATAATATAATAATATATTTATATTATTAAGGAAAAAAAATTTTTTATATTATTTTTATAAAAAATACATAAGAAGATAATCGAACACGGAAATAAATATTTATAAAACAAGTTTATTATAAACAAGTTTATTAAAAATGTTCTACTTACGATAAATATTTCTTTTCGAATAGGCTTAATTCTCGTTTTCCTCAATGTATTTTCATTATTTATGAGTGGAAAAAAAGGATGGGTTATTATCATAGCCTGCTGATGTTATATTTGCGTTTTTGAGTTTTTTTCGATACATGGCACGTTTTACATGAATGATTAAATTTTCATCATTGACCAGTCCATTCGACATTTGATGATAAATGAATACAATAATATTAATTCACATGGATAAATCATTCAATATATTAATAACATCTGCATACATAGTTTTCAATATTAATAATACTAAAAGTTTTTCATTATTTTGAAAATCAATAAATTCCTGAAACTAAAATTTTATTTGTTATATTTGTTCTTTCTCCCCTTTTTTCTTCAAATATTATGTTGATTTACGATTGGATATCATATGGAACTATAACTTAAATAATATATTTTTTTAAAAAGAAAAATTAATTAATTTTTAATTTCTATATTTTTACTTAATTACTTATCTTTTTTCTTTTTTGATTAATTATTTTTAAAAGAAAAATTCTATTTTTCTTTTGAAAATAATTCTTTGAATTTTTTAAACAATAATTTATCATCATTTATTTTTATCAACATTTATTTATTATAAAAATATTAGGATATGAAAATTTTAATTAATTAATTAATTTTATTAAAAAATCTTTGCCAATATTTATTTATTTAAAAAATTATAAAGACATAATAAGATTAAAAAGATAATTCTAATAGTATTCTATTTAAGAATTTCGTAAAATATTGCGAAATATAATTTCTTTCATTCAATACGGCTTGCATGATAAAAATTTTTTCTTTGCATTGAATAATGTTTGCGGAACAACATGTTTAGTTTACTAATACTTTAATAATTATTTCATTGCGTGATTATCATTCATAAGCAGAGATCAGCTGAAATCAGTGTCAAACTTCTAAGTCGGTATGACAGTTAAGTTTGGTTTTGAAAGAATTTAAGGTGATTAATCTATCCTTATATCTAGTCTGTGGTCATTATAACTTTAGTCATTATAATTTCGGTTATCTAAAAATTGTTTCATATTTTAATTTCGTCTAAGTTTTCTGTAAATAAATACTAAATATTATATGTGTAAATGGAAAAGACTTGTTTTTTAATTATTAGAATAAACGTGTGCGTGTGCGCGTGCGCACGCGCGCGCGTGTGTATGTGTGTGTGTGTGTGTGTAATAGTAGTAATAGTAGTAGTAGTAGAAGAAAGCTTAAATATATTTGTCAATATATGTTCAGTATCATTTATTTAAGATTTCAATGAAAGTATCGACTCAATATAAAAATGTTTACCATTTTAATAAATATACATATTTATTAGTTGAAACAATACATACATTTGTTATAACAAATTAATAAAATTATTAACTACATTTAAAATAAATTGAATGACATTTTTAAAGTTACTGAGATAATAGGATAGATTTTTTTTTTATTATTAATAAGGCATGATTATTGAACTAGCAATATATTATATACTATAAAACGATTATTTTTATGAAAAATATATGCTTTTGATCGACATAAAATTTAAAAGGCAGAAAGAAAAGGAGATTCTAAATCTAAAATTTTAACATTATTTATTTCCAAAATATTAATAACTTTTGGTATATTGAATTCTGTTTATACACCTAATTAATATAATTATTTTAGTAGCAACTTACATTCAAATGACGAATAGCAGACATAATAGCTATAATGATCTCAATATCTATATGGTGTCTCGTATAAAATATAGGCGACACCGATAATCTAATTTATTGATGGTTGGGAAATCAAATATTTTTTTATCTCTATATAATACTATTTTCCTAATCATAAATGTTTGCTGCATAATAAAAAAATCCATAGCAAGTTGGAAAGTTCTATGAATTCTTTAAATCCGAAAGATTTCAAAATAAAAAGAAATTAAAATATAAAAAAATTCTTAGATCAAAATTAATACATGACCGAAATTAAATTATTACAATGATCGATAGCAATATTAGATATTAAGTGAAAGATTGATCATTACAACATTCATTATTATAATTTTGATTGATTAAAGATTATATTATATTTTATTTCAATATTTCATAGATTTGAAAGAATATCCAAATTTGCTCTAGATATTATAATGATTAATAAATAATTAGTTCACGTTATTTAAATATTAAATATGTTATTAATTTGATTATTATGATATATTATTGATTTGAAGTGACGATTGTATGCTAATACACAATATTATCCGCATATAGACAAAATTCAATATAGCAATAGCAAGAATTTTTTGCAAATATTTTGAAAACTAAAATCGAATGGCAGTTATATGTATAAGAATGTTTATTTTTACAACATATTGAAAAATCATTGGTAAGTTTCGTTTTCTAGATAATTATCCAATTTTTTTAGAAAATTTTCTGAAATTAATTTTAATTGATCAAAAATTATAATTGATCAATCTGTTGATTAGTTCTCATTTTATTATTGATCTTAATAAACTCAAAATATATTAAAATATTTTGAACTTTTTGCTTTACATATAACCATGATTAACTTTAATTTTCGAATTATTCATAAAAAATTTTAGTATTATGTTATTAAATTCTTCTTATTAAATTTTGCTTATACATAATTCCGTGATAATGTTCATCATACAAGTTGATAATTAAAGGCAAGTAATAATCATATAATGAATAAGTTTGTAAAAAATCAGAATTTTTTATTAATTTGAATGTTTTTTAAAGTTTTCTTTATGGTGTATATATAAGGTGTCTGAAAAGATCAGGATAAAAACTTGTTATATGTTAATGAATGGATAAAAAAAATTGATATAAAATTATATCCGGAAATTTTTTATTAAAGAATTATAAGTATATAGAAATTTTTATTAATTGTTTTGATTACAATAAAATTTCTTCTTTCTGTACAATTTCATTTGTTAAAAGATTATCAAACTTTTTCGAATATTCCCTTGTAGAAATAATAGTAAATTTTGAATACATTTCCAAAATTAGTCTTCTATTTTTATTACATTTTTATAGACCAACTATCATAATTAATATAAATGGAAATTAAAAGAGAAATTCAAAGAGATTGCTAAAAGACTAATTGATTAATCTCAATATAAAAATTTTTTATTAAATTATGATTTATATATGTAGTTATATAATTTATGATAAACAATTAATACATGTTGCTAAAGTTTTGTCATTTATTAAAATGATTACACATAAATTTCATTCACATTGCATTCATTCATATGTATATATATTATATTTAAGATATAATATATACATATATATATATATATATATATATATATATAAACATTATACATTATATATATATACACATATATATAAGCATTATACATTATATATATTATATACATATAAACAATATATAATAATCTTTCAAAATAATATATTATGAATGAACGAAATTATATAGTACAATATTTTTAAGAATTTTTATTTATATATATCTAAATATTTGTGTCATATTTTTAAAAATTTTTATTCAAATATTTATATATTTATAATCTATAATATCTATATAATATCTAAATTTGTATCAAATATAAGTAAAAAATATTTTAACATTTTTTTTAAAAAAATAAAAATATTTTTATTAAATTATTATTATTATTACATATTTTGAAATATATTTTATAAAATCTTTATTTTCTTTATCTTTAATAACAAAGCAAACAGTTGTTTTGTGTCCCTGAAATTGTAGTAATTACCCGGAAGAGAGAGTTTACAAAATGTTTCCTGTTATTATTCTTTCATATCTCATTTCCGTTTTTCATTGTTTTAATATTTTGATATATTATGTGTCTCTTTGATATCATTTTGATCAGATCTTTTTTATATTTTTTTTTTTATAATACTTTCATCTATCTTTTATACTTTCATTATATATTTATTTTTATATTTTCTTCAGGGAAAAGAAGAAGTATATTTTTTCTCAAAGGAGTATGATATATTGATTTTATTTTTTTTTCTTCTTTTTTTTAAGTTATTGTTTACAAATATCTAACGATCAACAAATACAAAAATTCGTTTAATAATAATTCAATAAATTTATAATTAATATATATAAATTTATAATAAATAATATATTTGTATTTTAATTTTGAATAAATCGATAATATATATCATGAAGTCAAGATCAAGTGTAGTTCAATGCATTTTAAATATACATACTCTTAGAGAAGGGAGCAATTCGCGGCCATCGGTGTGGTCAATCAGTTATTAACGAACTCGGGGCTCTCTCACCATTCACATAGTGCACCTAAATATAGAGTGACACTGTGGCACTAATTTGTTGAATGAAACGATAGGTGTGTTGGTGCCTAGGGGACTGAACGCCATTGTGGGGTAGATCTGTAGGGTACAGTAGAAATCTCAACACTCACCGTTTGTAAACGCGATTTGTGAACGTAACGACACGGGCCGACACACGACACGCTTCGATAATTTTTTTTACTTACGACTGCTTTACGACTGCTATTGATTAATATCGATCTAGTGAAAATCTTATTTAAATCTGTTCGTGAAATTGTGCACGTATGTACATTGTATAAGTTGTATGACAAGAGAAAAGTAAGATATTTTGTCTTTTTCTGTATAATATTGTGATCATTGATAGAGTAGATAGATAAGATACTATTTACTCATTGTTAATAGTTACATTATTGTCAATGGTTCATATGTATAAAGTTATCATATTTTTCAATTAAAATTTTACGAATAATTTTTTTCTATTTTAGAAATTTTTATATTTCCTTTTCCTGTCTTATTATTTATAAAAAAAGTATTTTATAAAAAAATATATATATATAACATCGAATTGAAATAAAATTTCTTTTTTTAACAAAAGTAAATAAATTAAAATTTTTTTTATAATATTTATATTAATAACTCTTTTAAAATTACAAAAAACATTTCTGTTATTATTTATATATAATGTATAATTATTTATTCTTTTTGTTATAAATTATATGAAATCTATTATTTTTTTGTATCAATAATCATTATTATGAGTATTAAGTGATAATATCATAAAGATTAATTTATCGTTCATTCAAGTTATACAATTGAGTTTATTACATAATTGAAGTGTAGAAGTTATAAATTGTTTTATACTATAAGATATATTTATAAGACAGTATTATTTAAAAAATATTGTTAATTAAATTGTTAATTATCGTTGATATAAGAATTTGTTTACTTGAAAATTAAATGATCTTTATACATATATATCTCTGTTAATAAACGTAATAATTTACTAGAGATCTCTTAAGATATTGACTACTTAAAATAGAACGACAAAATTGCTGATGAATAATTTTCTACTTCCTACATAGTAAATTGGAAATTTTAAATCTGAATGGTTTTATGGTAGGAAGACGTCCGCCGATCGTAGTTCATTGTTCTATGTGATGATCTCCGATGACATTGTTTCTTTTACCGATAATTAATAAAATAGGACAAGGTTGCCTGATGGGAATAACGTTTAACAAACGTGATTCCCGGAAGTGGCTCATTGTCTGTCATCCATCATCATCAAGACCCTTGTACAACCGTATCTCATATAACTACGATGACTGTTAAACATTCAAAGTTCTTTAGAAATGATCGCGTCATCTTTCACTTACCATTCATTATAAATTTATTTAATGTTAACATTTTTTTAATATATACAAATGCAAGATGTAAATAAAATCAAAGAATAAAAGTTATAACAAAGTTATAAATAATATCAATAACTAAATCTATAAGCTAATCATAAGTCTGGTAATTTAAACATTTGACAACTTTAGAAATTCAATTCTTAGAGGTTTTCTTTCATCTTTGTTTACAGATCGAAGCAAGATTTAATAGAATGAGGTGAATTCGATTGAATTTGTATTTCGGAGAGAAAATAATGCCTTCGAGCGAATCTTCTAAAATATCCAAGGTAGATAGGTCCACTAGTCCTCTGCCACGTAAACCTGTGAATCCAGTTCAAGAATTAAAAGCCTTATTCGCTGAACCACCCGTAAGAGTTTCAAATGGCGGTAAAGAGCAAGATTTTCGCTTTGAAGCGATTCAATGTTTGCAATCTTCAGCTTTTAAGGAAATTAAAACATTGCCAGATCGAGGAATGTGGAGCAGTAAGGTGAAAATATAAAAAATATTAATGTGAATTATAGCAATAAAACTGCAACAAAAAAAGGCAATTAAAGATACACACATATATACAATGCACATATGTTATAATTAAAAATTAATATTTATCAATCAAATTATTCTTATTTTTTCAAGATTGAATTCATCCTCTCTGTAGTAGGATTAGCTATAGGATTAGGAAACTTATGGCGATTTCCTTATCTCTGTTATAAAAATGGCGGTGGAGCTTTTATGGTTCCTTACTTTATTGCTCTTGCACTTGCCGGAATACCCATGTTCCTAATGGAATTATCACTGGGGCAAATGATGACTATAGGTGGATTAGGTGTTTTTAAAATAGCTCCAATTTTCAAAGGTTTATATTATATTAGGATATTTATATTATATTTATATTCTATAAATTATTAAACTATTATTTATGATTTTTTTACAAATAGGCATTGGATATGCTACTTGTGTACTTTCTTGTTGGACTAATATATATTATATCATTATATTAGCATGGGCACTTTTTTATCTTTTGGTTTCTTTACGAATTGGTACGAAAATAATAAAAATAACATATATAAAATTTTGCAATGAATAGAATTTTTCAATATTAAATATGTATATAGATCTTCCATGGAGAACATGCGGCAATCCTTGGAATACACGTTACTGTCTTACGCCTACGGAACGTTTAGAAGCATTATGTTGGACTCAAGATGAAGATATTATATGTTCTACCCCAATCGGTAATTTAAGTCACGCTTTACTGAAAGATCCAGTGAAAGAATTTTGGGAGTGAGTTTATATAATACAATTATTATAATTTTTGTTTTATGATTATATTTTAATATATATATTCTTTTTATTTTGAAAAGGAGGCGTACTCTTCAAATCTCTGATGGTATAGAGAATATAGGTTCAATAAGATGGGAACTAGCAGGTACATTGGCTGTTGTATGGATCATGTGTTACTTCTGTATTTGGAAAGGCGTAAAATGGACTGGAAAAGTATGATTTTATAATTATTTATAATTTTAATAAAATTTTTGAATTTGTTTGCTGATTTGTACAGGTTGTATATTTTACATCATTATTTCCATATGCATTGCTAATGATTTTATTAATAAGAGGATTAACATTACCAGGAGCAATGGAAGGTTTAAAATATTATGTAACTCCAAATCTTTCGAAACTCAGTGATCCCGAGGTATTAAAATAATGTTATTTTTTTTTTTCTAATAATATTTAAATTCTATATCTCATTGGATTATAAATTAAAATATATTTTAACAAATTTTTATAGGTATGGATAGATGCAGTGACGCAAATATTTTTTTCTTACGCACTGGGTTTAGGTGCACTAGTTGCTCTTGGAAGTTATAATAAATTCAACAATAATGTTTATAAGTAAATAATTTATGCTTACTTGAACATAGTACATACATTTTATCTAGTTAAATTTAATTAAATTTGATTTCGTTATATTTCTTACGTATACAGAATATTTATATATTTGTGAAATATTTTTAGAGAATTGATTTTAAAAGCAAAAACAAATACAAAAATCAATACATAAAAATATCGATTAATTATTTATTAAATTATAAACAATTTAACTTTATATTAATCAACACACAAAATCAGAAAGTTCTATTTCATCATGCTGTTGCTTTGCTTCGTTTCATGCAAATTTAAATTGCTTATAATTTAAATAAATAGATAATATTAAATAAAATTAAATAAAATTAAATAAAAATAAAATAGATAATTAAATAAATAATATTTATATTATTAACTTCTATTATATATATATAATATAATTATATATATTCTATTATATAATTTCTATATTTTGATCTCTAGAATTAACTCTTTAAAAGTATTTCACGAATATAATAACATTTTTTATATATATATTTTATATATATAATTTATTATTTTAAATTCATATTTATTTTAGAGACGCACTTATTGTTTGTACAGTAAATTCTTGTACTAGTATGCTTAGTGGTATTGTTATATTTTCTGTGGTTGGTTTCATGGCTCATGAACAACAAAAGCCCGTTGCGGATGTTGCGGCTTCCGGTAATTTTAATAATTAATATTAAGTCATATATATTATCTATGTTTTTTCGTTAATATTCTATTGTTGTAAATGTTTTAATTAGGTCCTGGTTTAGCTTTCCTGGTTTATCCTTCTGCAGTTCTAGAATTACCAGGATCATCAATTTGGTCTTGTTTATTCTTTTTCATGCTTATACTTATTGGCTTAGATAGTCAGGTAATTTAAGATATTTTAATAAACCGAAAATGAAAATGATCATTCATTATGTTTTATAGTTTTGTACAGTTGAAGGCTTTATTACGGCTGCAGTAGATGAATGGCCGCGACTTCTCAGAAAACGAAAAGAATTATTTATAGCAATTGTATGCTTTGTCTCATATCTTATTGGCCTTTTTTGCATTACTGAAGTAAGCAGTTAATAAAAATTAAATTTTATTATTAACTATGAATAAATTATTGAAAAAACTCATAATACTTTCAGGGAGGAATGTATGTATTTCAACTCTTAGATTCATACGCTGTAAGCGGATTTTGTCTTTTGTTTTTAATGTTCTTTGAATGTATTGCTATCTCATGGGCATTTGGTGTAAATCGTTTTTATGATGGAATTCGTGACATGATTGGTTATTATCCTTGTTGTTGGTGGAAAATATGTTGGACTATTACTACTCCTGCCATTTGTGTGGTAAGATTTTTTATATATGTGTAGATATTAATATATACATAGCTTCAAGTCAATAGAAATTGACTTGAAATTGAAAATGAATTGAAACAAACGCAAAAGTTGATAGATAAAAATGGAGCTTATTTATTATATTATAAATAATTTAAATTTGTCTTAAATAAAACAAAGTAAAAGTGTTTTGACAACAATAAAATAGATAATATCTTACTCTTCTATTTCATTCGTCTAATGCAAATTTTAATTGCTCATAATTTAATAAATAACCAACATTTTTATGTAAGTATTAATTTTTATATTTATTAAGGCCTCTAGAATAGAGCTTTTTAAAATATTCTATGAATATATTAACATCCTATATATACAAATAATTATTAATTTTCATTTTATATAATTCAGTTAACTAAATCTTTAAATTCAAATTAGGGTGTTTTCACATTTAACATAATTAAATTTGTTCCTGTAAAATATCTTACATATGAGTATCCATGGTGGAGTCATGTATTAGGATGGCTTTGTGGTCTATCTTCTATGTTATGTATTCCCGGATATATGATATATATCTGGTTCACAACATCTGGAACTATCTCTGAAGTATAATATTATAAATTATTATAATCTTTTTATTTCATCTATAAAATTCTTTGTATATGATTGAAATAATATTTTTTTCCAGAAATTCCGAAAATTAATAAGAATAGAAGATAATGTTGCTACATTACGAATGAAACTAAATCCCACAAAAGCTGCCTCTATTAGTGCAGATTTCGAATTATAAATATCATTGTATGTTTATTTGAAATCCATCAATGATGCAAGTGTGTTCTTTGCAATGAATGACTGAGACAAAACATGATTTCATATGTTAAGCAATATCATATCATATATAATATATATGTTCATGTAATCATTTATCATAAACAAATAAAAAACATAGTGCTTATATAAATGAAGTTATATAATAATAATAAGATAAACTTATAAAAAAATATACAAATAGATTTTAAATAAGAATTCGATTAAGATAAAATAAATAATTTTATTTATTATACTTTACATAATATCAAATTTGTCTACTGTATATGACTAAATATGATTAAATGTCACCACATGATTACTTTGAAATTTTACATTTATCAATGGACTTCAACTTTATAATTCAAAAAAAAATTAAATATTTAATTTATATCAAACTATATACATAATTTTATATAAAAAAATTAATTAAAATACTTAAATTTATTTTTCTCCATTTTGCATTTCTTTAATACGTCCAATAAGTTGTTCTTTCCATTGATCTTCCGATATAGCTTTTGCCCATTCTGGAATTGCTGTAATTGGTAAAGTAAAAGATGCCATCATAGATTTTACTTGATTAATTTTATCTGCATCCATATCAATATTTGATCGATGGGGAGATGACCAAATTTCTATTGTTTCTGACATACAATCCTAATAAAAAATATAAAATATTATTAAAAAACATTTAATATTTTATAAAACATTTAATATTTTTTTAAATTTAAGGAACATACATGCTGTGACTCTAATAATGGAGCTCTCAATACTTGACTAGATTCACCTACATTAGTTATCCATTCATCATCCTAAAACATAAAAATATTATTATTATAAATATTTATGCATAAATAAAATATTATTAAATAATAAACATACTTCATCTTCATACAACATTGGATCACTATCTGCAGGAATCTGAGATAGTGGTACATATCCTGCCATTCCTATATCATCATCTTCACTATCGGATGTATTTATTCCTCTAGTATCAAGAGATAAATTCGGTGTACTTAATGTTTCTTCAATAGGTTCTTGTGTAGGATCAGGAGACATTGTGCATCACGTTTTATTTCTATTTTAAAAAGTTTTTATGAATATTTTAAATAGATTTTCTTGTTAAAAATTAAGAGTTCTTAACCTTACTTTTCATATATGTCATTACTTTTTATATTAAAATTTATTAATATTTTTTTTTCAAAGAAATAAAATTAAGAATTAAATAATCAAATTTTTTACCTTGATATTTTTATATTAAACAACTTATAAATATTGAAAAATTTATTACAATAGGAAAATTTGACAATTCACAGCTGATTTCGTGTACTTCGTAATATCTTACTGTTTTATACGGCTATTCAAATAAACTATTTATTTGAAAATAATAATTTGATATTAATATTTAATAGTAATAAAAATTTAATAGTAATAAATAATATTTAAAAAAAATATGTTTATTTATCATATTCGTTTAAACTTTTTTTTAATATTAATAAATTTTTTTTATGTAAATAATAAATATTTTGACTAACGGTCATTTAAATAATCGGTTATTTTTTCTAGTTAACTAGTGATTAATTGTTTCATAATTGAATTTGAAATATATTGTTAAAAATATTATTTTAAGCAATTTTTTGTATACATAGTCAATTTATTTTCGAAAAAGAATTCACTATTATATTATTGAATTCTGTTTATATATATATATATATATATCTCAGTGATAGTGTATATGCTGCATCATTGAATTCTTTATATATATATTAATAGTGTATATCAATATTTATTTATCAAGTGTTTATTATATTATAAATAATAATTATAATAATTATAACATATAACATATTAAAGAATCTAGCAATCAATATACTACTTATGATTCGAATCTTTATGAATTACTTATGATTTCGAATCTTTTTAAGATTTTTTTTTACGATAATAGAAAAATTAATTGATTATATTATATTATTGATTATATTGCTATTGCTATATATATTAGAATATTAAAATTGCTATATATATTATAATATTAAAATTTTAATGATTTTGTCCAAAAATTGTCTTATATTTTATTTTCGTTCAACCTTGCTATAAATAGATATATTTTAGTATAATGATTAATTTATTCATTGTGTTTATATAAATAATTAAATAATAATAATATAATAAATAAATAATATATTATCACATACATGTGTGTATTTTGTATAAACAATATTCAATACATAAATTTTTTGCAAATAAACTAAAATCGACAATTATATATAAAAGGAAGTATTGTTTAAAATGCTTTTTGTTATATATTTCGAAGTCATCAAAATTAGTGAAGAAGAAGTTAATTAACAGATTTATTCGACATTTGTGTATATCATTTTTTATATTTTATTATTGTTTTTGCTTTTAGAATCAAACTTCTATAAAATATGAAATGAATAAGAAAAAGATTATATAAATAGTCCCAAAGCATAAATGTGGCTAATATGCATACAAAAATAAATTTGAATAATGCACAATGAATGCTAATGACTGAGCGAAAAAATACAGTCAATATAAAAAAAATTGATTTACTTCAATTACTATTACTATTACTATTACTTACTATTTAATAAATTTTATTAAATATGATTACAATATCTTCAAAGATATTTCTTGAATTAATATCCTATACATAAAATATGTACATGAGATATAAAAATATATAAGACATATATAACCTATATATTATATATATATAAATCATAAAATTTTTTATCAATAACTTAGGTAAAAAAGATAATCAAATTAATTAGATTTTGACACAATTTTTTTTGTTCTTGAACATTTATGTTTAAATGATAAAAACATCTTTTTAAAAATAATCAAGAGATGGCGCTGATCCTCAGTTCTTATATTATCTTTATTCTTTTTCTACTATTTGTTTTTATTTATACTTATTTTTTCTTATATTTTATTTATATATATATATATATACTTTATTTTTCTTTTATTTTATTTATATTTATACTTATTTTTTCAGATTAAGTATGAAATGTTAATTGATCGTATTTTCAACATTTTATTTTCAAAATTTAAATGTTATTTATATAAAAGAATGTAAAAAATATATTAAATTTTTACAATATATCTTTAATATAAAAATCTTGCAAATTGTAACATATTCTAAACGTATCATACTAGTATTTTGATGCGAAAGATCATTTGACGTAGAAACAAACAAAATAGGAAGAAAATTTGAAATATTTTATTGAAAAACGAAGCTATTGAAAATTCGTTTGTCGAATTTTTTCTTTCATTACTTACAATTTTGTAAAATTCTTAGAACATAAAAACTAATTAATAAAACATTATTATATACAACTAATTAATTGTTAACTAAGACAACAAAAATTATAATCATAGTTTTAATAAAAGATTATAAATATAATATTAATTTAAATACAAATTAAAATTAGAGTGCATCAAGATTTAGAGTGCCCTCATATAATATAATATATTTGGATATAACTTTAATTATTGAATCAAATTAAAGAAACAGATTTAAGAACAATTAAAGAATTAAAGAATTAAAGAAGTATAATAATTCGTTCGAAAGCTCATAATCTGAAGGATTGTGGTCTATATTGCTACAAATTATAATTTATTTAAGATATTAACAAAAATTATTGTTATTATCTATATTGGATTATTATTTCTTCAGAAGAATGCAAAAAAAAAAATATAAAAAAATTCTTGCGTGCGAAATTACGAAAAAATTATAATGATGAATACTAATTATAAATACAAAATTAATATTATTTAATTTTGATTATAAATTCGTTCATTATAATTTTGATTGTTTATTTTATATTTTATTTTCACGTTCCACAAATTTGAAAAATGAATAGATATTAAAAGTGTAATAATAATTGTAAAGTGTAATAATAATAATAATTTATACATTTTGAATACTGGTTGCCATGTATAAATATATAGAAATAGTAGATGAGTGACGATCACATATTGACACTATTATCGATACATGTATAATATTCAATGTAATAACAATTTTTATTTACTGAAAATTATTAAATAAATTGAACAATCCGGAATAATCATCCTAGCAAGTAAACTTTGAAGCATAAATTTTCGATTTTTTGATTCATTATTCCAATAACTAAAATAGAGTCAAATTATTATTCATTACATCGATTCTATAAAAAGTTTGGATTCTTTTGTCATAAATTGTTTATTTCAAGGTATAACAAGATGTATGATGAATCTCTCTCTAAACAACTTTTTCCAAATATATATACATTATTAAAAACATACAACATTAAATTAATTATTTAAATTTAATAAAGAAATAATAATATTTCTTTATCTTTAATCACATTAAATTTATTTTATTTTTAAAAAATATATCAATATTTTACATTCATTATATCCACAAAAAATAAATTAATAATTAAAATAAATAAATATTCAGATTTTATAATCTTATTTTATAATTATTATCTAGATGTATCAAATATATAATATTAGATTTCATATATTTGATACTTTGATATTTAATATAAATATATTATATATGTTATCAGATATATTATTAGATATCTAAATATAAAGTATATTATTATTATTGTCGATTATATTATTGTCAGATTTTCTTATCTTTTTAATACTATGAAACACTATTATTGCTATATTTCTTACGAAAAATATAAAAACTACATTTTTTACGTAAAATATTTATTTTATATATTTCCATAATTCCAACGATTTCTATTTTTATTAATCAAAATTAATTTTATTTAATTCAAAATTAAAAAAATTTTTGTAAAAAATTTGTAAAAAAGTTATTAAATCTTTAAGAATGGAAAAAATAAATATGATATATATGTATAAATAGAATTTTGTTTTTTTAACAGATATTCTTTCGATAATTTCTTCATTAAAGTTAAAAAGTTTGTAAATATATAATAAATTCAACATGTTCGTTCCATTCCGGGATTAATAGAATCGCAAAACCGCAATGTAAATATACCTAATCCTCCATTATATCTAATGAAAAAAATATATCTGCTAACCAGCCTAAGAAGGCAGTGAAAGGTTATCGCGTGCAGTCAGACTAACTCGTTTGATCATCTGAAATAAGAAAAAAAGAAAAAAGAAAAAATAGGTAAAGATGGCCGATTGAACATGATTCAGCGGTTGGCGATGTACGCCCCGAAACCGACCGGTCTCCTTTTTGGTTCCGGGAATTCGTACTCCACCAATCGGACTTTCAGCATCATTTCCATTCACGGACAGTATTCGTCTGGAACGTGCCGATACAACTTGGAAAATTTCCCGACGATTCTACGTATATCGAACATTCTATTCGCGAAAAAAAACGAGTTGTTCGCTTACATAATAAAAATAGTATAAATAATAAAAAAAATATAAATAATAACAATACAAAAAATAACATAAATAATAAAAATAATACAATAAATAAATAAATAAATAATAAAAAAATTTTGTTTTTTTTAAAAATATGATGAAGTTTAAAGTTTATACAAACGTTATATCTATAAATGTATTCATGAAGTGCTATTTTGTTATTCGTTATATTTATTTGTTAGAAACTTATTGTATTAATAAGTTTTCGTAAAGACACGTTGTGTAATATTTGCAATTATATATTATAATTTTTTCTTGTGACTGCAATGAATTATTGGTTTTTATTTTTTTACGATTGAGGTAATAAAGATAATTTTAGAAATGAATAATTTGGCAAAAATGTGAATGTTTATTATATATAAATAATTTACATAAAATACGTGTAATTTTATTAAATTATTTATTATTTGATTTCTATTTTTTTCTAATACTGATTTCTTAGAATTTTTTTCACCTATTTTTTTCATGTATTTTATGTTTTTTATTTAAAATATTTTCACAGCATAATGTTTGAAAATATTAAATTATAAACAATTATTAACAAAAACATATTGTATAAAAATATCATAGATATTATATCACATCGTTTAACATCTGTTTAAAAAATTAAAAATAGATTTGAAAAAGATCAATATTTTTTTATATATAATTTTAAAGTAAAGAATATTTTGATGTAATAATAATTTTAATTAATAAATAGTAAATATAACATTATTAATAAATGTTATAATATTTAATTTTATATATTTATTAATTATTAATATTTATTAATTATATATTAATAATTATTAATTATTAATTATATATATTATATAATATAATTTAATAATATTTAATTAATAAATAATAAATAAATATTATTAATATATAATTGCACAATTGCTTAACAATATTTAAAAATTTTTTCATTAAAAAGTATATATTTCAGGAATTCAAAAATAAAATGAAATATTTCTTTTCATTGCATAAAAT